TAATAAAATTAAAATAATTATCCTCCAAACTTCCTAAGTATGACAACTAAAAGGTCAGCAGTTGTGACCATCATTTTAAAAAGATCACTTGGTGAAAAGCTTAATAACATACAGATGGAATGTGATCTCAGTAAACAAAAACAGCAAACACAGCTACAGTAATTTGCATCCCCATCAACAGTGTACAAATGTTTCTTTCTCCTTACCCTGCCAACCCTTCTACCTCTTGATGTTCTAATGGCTGCCCTCGCCCACATGGGGTGGTCTCTCATTACAGTTTTGGTTTGCATTTCCCTGACAGCGATACTGAGCTTTTTTTCCTGTGTCTATTGGTCATTTGTAAGAAATGTCTATTCAGTCTTTTTATTTTCATACCAAGTTTATGGAGATAATTTCTTTGATTCTGTCCTAGGTTCATTTCTGTTGCTATGATAAAATTCCCTGACAAAAAGCAACTTAGGGGAGAAAAGGATTTTATTTCAGCTGACAATTCCAGGTCACAGTCCATCATTATGGGGAACTCAAGGCAGGAATGTCAAACGGCTGGTCATGTCACATCCACGGTGAAGAACAGAAAGAACTGCTCGCTCGCTTGTGCTCATCTTTCTACATCTTTATTCAGTCTTCGCTCTCCTGCCCAGGAAATGCTGCTGCCCACAGTAGGCTGGGTCTTCCCACATCAATGAAAAGAATCAAGACAATCCTCCATGTCTAGGCCAACCTGACCTAGACAATCCCTCACTGAAACTCTCTTCCCAAGTTATTCTAAGTTGTATCAAGCTGACAATTATAATTAACCATCACAGGTTCTTTGCATGTTTTGGATATTAACACCTTACCAGATGTATGATTGCAAATATTTTCTTCTGGTCTGGAGGTATTCTCACTTACACACAAGCACATTTTTGGTGTATGGGTATGTATGTGGTTCTAGAGATCAAACCCAGGGCTCTGTACATGCTACACATGCATGATACATGAGTTCACCCCAGTCACCATAGACTGTCTCTTCTCTCTATTAGTTCCTTTCCCAAAAAGAAGAAACCTTTTGATTTGATGCAATTCCATTTTCCTATTTTTGTTTTTGCTCCTCAAGCTATTAGGGTCAAAGGAAAAATATTGCCCAAACCAGTGTCATGTAGTTGGACTTCTGTGTCACACCATATTCAAAGCTTAATTCACATAGATTAAGGTCCTAAATGTAAAAGCTAAAGCTGTAAAATGCTCAGAAGGAAACAGGTACAAACTTTTGTGACCTTCAACTAGTTAGTGGTTTCTTAGATGATACTAAAAGTACAAGCAACTAAAGACAAAAGAGATAAGCCGGACTTTATCAAAATTAAAACATTTTGTGTTCAAAGGACACTATCAATAAAGTGCAAAGAAAACCTACAGAATAGAAGATATTTGCAAATCCGTTATACCTGTCCTAAGCCTGGCACCCAGAAAATACACTGAATTCTTATAAC